TGTGTGTGTGTGTGTGTGTGTGTGTGTGTGTGTGTGTGTGTGCTAGCACGTTACAAACACACAAAAGAGGGGAACAAAGAAGGAGATACGATCAGTTGGTGATTGAATATATCATGACAGACGACTCAAGATTCAGAAACTCCTGCTGAGAAATTAGACGTAGTGATTAAGGTGGCTGTTATTATGAAATAATCAACGATTTCAAAAGGAGGCTCACAGAGAGTTTGTTGGATGACTAAGCGAGGACTGTGTCAGACAGCCAAGGATTGGAAAACGGGAGACATCAGAGGAGGACAGAAATGAGAGGGAGGGATAAATCTTTTATCTGAACATCTCTTGTGGGCTTCTTGTTATTGAGATATCAAAAAAAAAAAAAAGAAACACAATCTAATATTAATGCGCATGTGTCTCTCTGTGAGGGTGCGCGTGAGGCAGACCGCATTTCGACCATCAGAAGCTGTCTTTGTACATTTTATCAGCTCAAATCCAGGCCGAGAGAGAGAGAGAAAGAGAGAGAGAGAGAAAAGGGGTAACAAAAGCTTTGTGGAAAATGAAGGGTGGGAAAATGAGGCGAGTACAAATGGATGAAAGTGAAAAAAGATGAGTAACGTCTGTGGATGTGTGAAACCAACTTAAAATAGAGCATTAATATTACATCAATGTGTGACAAAGACTGAATGAGTGCATCGGACAAAAAAGTAGCTTACAAAACGTTGAAGACCCTGAAAACATGGGCACATTATTTTTAATTTTTTGAGAATGAAATTACATTTTAATTATTGCTTTCATCTTGCTTTAGGGTTTATTTTGGCATTTTGTTTTTTCACTAGATATTCATCAAGAAGAAAATTCTTTTGGGTTTGTAAATCTGGCCACCGCTGCTGTGAAGCAAGATGTGTTTTTGAATTTTAGTTGCCTCTTTAACCTTGAAAACACATTTGAAATCATATTTTTGAGATGGTTGGCAAACACTGATGCTTTTACAAGGTCCAAATACTTTATTACTAGTTTTAATTAAAGGGACTGTGGAAGGAGAGGTCTGGGACTCCCTGCTCAAGCTGCTGCCCCTGTAAGCTGGCTTCAGGACAAGGCACAGATTTTGAAAGAGCTGCTTCGTGTTTCGAAACATTTTAAGTGCCTGTATAAATGTCATGCCAAAGACCTCATATTTGTTTCTCCAACCCAGCGCAACACTGTCAGAAATGTTCAGCAAACACCATCTGTTGATTTGTCTTCCTAAACAAATTTCTTTTTTTAATGTTCTGGATGGAATTGCCACTATTTTGAAAAGCTGCCAGGAGTGTTTGTGAGTCCAAAATATTTTGTTCGATTTCTATGCACACATGTAAATTACGTCCTTAAATGCACCAAGGTTTTTTGTAAGGTGTGCCTTTTTCCCCCTCAATTTGCATTTAGCGCATGTTGATACCAAACACTTCAATTTTTGATGAGTGCTGGTGAATAATAAATGAACGTAACCACCTGTGAAGAAAACCTCAAACCAAAATCTATTCGGTTTGTTCTGTTAAGCCGATGGAAACGAGTCACACTGCATGTTTTTTTTTATTATTTTTTTTATCAATATGGTCTCTAGAGAGTGTCACATGGGTATGACACAATGCACGTGGATTACACCGATCGAACACACTCACACTCTTACACAACATGTTGACACACACTCTCCCTTTAAAAAAAACGTACTTCACAGGAACAGCGTATCTTTAGGGAATCACCATGAAGCCTGAGGAGCCTGATCAAATTCTTAAAGCAAGCGTACATGCAAAATATAAAACATTTGCCTTTCTAGCTCCTGGAAGAACAGCTRCWTCARTTACATCTCATGCATGTATAAAAYAAACAGRTTAATGTTCYCTGTTTTTATTTGAAGCTAAGTTTYTGCATTAATCTCCACATTTTGTTTCAAAAGAAAACTAATCTTTGAATCAATGATATAGTATGTAATTTCACAGCAGGGTAAAAACACACCTAATTAAAAGCTAAAATAAAGTGTTTTGCAAATATCCACTCAAATATTTACTTGTCTCTGCACTCAATAACACACATCACTAGAAATGTRCATTATATTTTCTTTTGAATAATGGTGCAAAGTTCATTTTTTTGAATACYATCAGAGATGCAACAGAAATAAATTCACAGTGCATCCTAAATAGAAGACTGAATGATTTTGTTTTTATGTGTGCACAGCATCAATGAAATGATTGCCTGTTCTAAAAGGAGACTTCATCCTTGCCTCATTGATGGAAAGAGACAGCTTCAATTAAGTTACATAAGCCAAATATACAGCCAAAATAGTCCAGGTTCAAAAAGAGTAAATATATTGATTTGTGTCCGGATCACTTTAACCTGGCACCACTCTTCACCTAAACCTCGCAGAAAATACACAGAAGTACAAACAACTGAGTAAATACAGCCTGGATGCTGGGGAGCTTCATGTCATTTTAGCAGTCAGAAAAACAGCAGGAGGAGCTGGAAGGTTTCAGGAATGCTGCAAAAGAAAGGAGTGTGTTTGTAAGTCTCTTTAAACTTGTTCTTTCTCTCAGTTGAGCTAAAATGATTTGTGCACAGACTGGAGGAAAACAGTTACAAGGTCAAAAGAGAATAAAAAAAACCTGAACAAGGATGTTTGTTTTTAAAATGTCAGCCAAGTTTTATTTTGTTTTTCTTTTGCTCTCTGAACAAATTCCTGTGCTAACGTTTATGAGAAACTTTTTATTTACCTTGTTTTCCTTCCTGCCGTGCAGTTACTTGCACTGACTTTCTTTCTTGCGTTTCAGTTGGATGTCATGGCGTATGCGCCATCGCTCCAGGACAATCTGCTTGTCCTTGGCCTTTGTTACCATTTTCTTCCATCTCCTCCTGGCCCTCGTCTCTCTTTCCATTCGCCACCTGCCCTGCGACACCCCGCGGCCACTCAGGACCCACGTCCTTAGAGACTTGGCGCAGGCCAACATGTCGGAGGGAATCGGAGGAAATTCTGAGCTTTCAGCTAAAAGAGACACGTCTTATGAAGATGGCAAAACAGACTCAAACGGTAAAGTGTTCCCTGGCCAAACCGTGCCTGTGAAGGGAAATAAAAACACCAAAACCCTGCAAKTGACGAAAGGCCGCCATGGAAATGAATCCTGGGAGTCTGATTCGCTAAAACTGAAGGCACTGTTTGACCATCCACTTTACAACATGCCAAGGCCGGCTGTCCCCGAGGAYGACTGGCTTCTCAAAGTCAAACCAAAGGTCAAGGAAAGTGCAAGGAGCTCCCAGATGTGGTCAGTATGATAGTTAGATTGTGTGTGTGTGTGTGTACCACTGTGTGTAAAATCTATCCTCTGATGGTTCCATGTGATACTTTAACAGTCAAAAAGTACATTCTTCAAATCCTCCAAGCACACAACCGCGATTCGAGCAGAATATGTTGGACAGGAAGCAAAATGAAAGATGAATAGTTTAGACATCTACATGTGTAGTTCTACTCAAAACACTCCTGGTTTCATGCATATTTTACAAGTAAGAATATATATTCAGTGTACAGAAGATTTTCCCCAGATGGGTCAGACTGCAGGGAGGCGACACAGTTTCACGCTGCCACAGATGGGCAAAACTGAAAATAGTGTTGCTGCTTTATGTTTCCATTTGTCTCTTTTTTCATACAAACTCTGTAAGTTGTAAGAAGTTTAAATAATACAACTCATTTGATGGAATGACTTATCTGAGATTTTTCTCATACAGTAACTCAGGTGAATCATTTTTGCTTAAAGTCCAGTGGGTACATTCAACACATTGTTTAGGTCATGAAAGATTTTGTTTATATTTTTAGAAGAATGGCTACTTGTATGAGAAGACACACTACTTGTTTAACTGCTTGTCACACAGATGGGTAATCAGTCAGACACATGGCAGCAGCTCAATTAAAGATTCAGACGGGCTGAAGTTCAAACTGAGCATCAAAATGGGAAAGATAAAGAACTTTGGTGACTTTGAACCTGGCATGGTTGTTGGTGRCAGACGCTCTGGCCTGATTGTTTCAGAAGCTGCTAATCTACTGGGTTTTTCCCTCTCAACCATTTCTAGGGTTTGCAGAGATTGGTGAAAAAAATAGAGAAAATTTACAGCAAGCGACCTTTGTGAAAATAGATGGATGCGCATATAAAAGAGCTGATGATGTTTTTAAAAAGTATTTTCTTTCCAAAACCTCTAAGAAGTGGTAATCCTCATATTCTTTCAGCAACTTGATAAACTTATCTTATTATTAGAAAATTTGATTAAAAACAGCATTAAAGGGGCAATATTATGTGTTTCTCAGGCATACATTTAAATACTATACCATAAAAAAGTATCAATGTCACCTTTTGTTGTTATTAAAATGCTGTTTTTATGTTTAAATAGAAAATAAACTACTCTTCTCATCACTTCCTCTTCTAAACGCCTTGAAATTGGTCTCTGTCTCTTTAAGAACCACCTTCTGCTTCATTCTTGCTCATTTCGGTTGGGGGGGGGCGGCTGCTTTGATGCAGTTTACTTGGCATCTGAAAATACATTTCCTCAAAAGTATTTTTAATCTGAAAAGAGCTTCACTGAGTGAGAACTAATGTTGAGAGCTCCGTAGACAATTTAAGTTTCACTTTCAGTTTTGCCAGAGCCTGCAGGAGTCATGGGCGGGGTGTGTGGGTTGGGGGGTGGGCGCTCTGCCATGAGGAAGTTCGGCTTAAAGACGCATCCCAGGGG